TAACAGCAAAGGATGGAAGGAAGTTTGAGAAACTTCACTTGGGTGAGTATCACTGGGAGAGTTATGGACAAACATTTGATCGGGCTTGCAACTTTGCCTCTGGACTTGTTAATTTAGGTCACGATGTGGAGACTCGTGCTGCTATATTCTCTGAAACTCGGGCAGAGTGGATCATTGCATTTCAGGTATTCGAGTTAATCTCGTTTTATTCTAAAAAAATTCATACTCCCTCCGTTTCAATTTGCTTGCCTTACTTTCAGTCTCTTTCCTTTTTTGGCAACTCTTTAATTCTAACTTTCCACGTGGCATGTTTAAGATCACAAGATTCAAAAGTCTTCTTTACTTTCTTAAACTCCATGTCAAGTCAAAACCAGACAACAAATTAAAACGGAGGGAGTAGTTCTATATTTGTTTGTTATCTGATTACTACAGGAATACAACAAGTTTTATAGTTGAAATTATTGTTCTCAGGGATGCTTCCGCCAGAATATTACTGTTGTTACTATTTATGCTTCTTTGGGAGATGATGCCCTTATACACTCGTTAAATGAGGTGGGAGATTTAAATATTTTTTCTTCTAGATTACGCGAGGTTCTAGTGATATGCAATGAATTGAATTCACTTGTGGTCATTGACAGACTCAAGCATCCACATTGATTTGTGACGCCAAGCAACTTAAAAAATTGGCTGCAATCGGTTCTAACCTGAAAACCATCTCGAATGTCATATATTTTGAAGATGATGAGACTGCAATAGATTCAAGCACTTGTACAAATATTGACAGCTGGAGGGTGACATCTTTCTCGGAAGTTGAAAACCTTGGTAAAAGTAATCCTATTCAACCAATACTGCCTATAAAGAAAGATATCGCGGTGATCATGTATACAAGTGGAAGCACGGGCATGCCTAAGGTATAATGCAACTTGCTTTTAGTTTTTCCTTCTGATATGATATTTAACTTTGAGCTGTAATGCAAGAGAAAACGTCAAAACACAACCAAATATGTTCTCAATTTCTCAATGGGATAGAGTATCAGAGGTTTGCTCGTGGCCAGAGTGGTTACAGACTAGAAGTATCCTTTGCAGGAGTCAAACAGTTAAAATTTCATTATTGCCTATGACAACAACAACATACCCAGTGTGATGTTACAAGTGGGTCTGGGGAGGTTGGGGTGTACGCAGACCTTATCCCTACATTTGTGGGGTAGAGGTTGTTTCCGATTTTTCAAAACAGGTTTGAACATACAATAGTAAAACAAGCTATGATGAAAATATCGAAGAAAAGAAAAGTATTGACAACAAAAATAGTAAAGATAACCAAAGTAAAAGTAACAACGGTAGTGCTAAAATTGAAGAATAGGGTAATGGTGGAATAATAATGTCTCATTTTTTCCTATTCTAGCAAAATCACCTATTATATACATCTTCAACCAATGATTTTTAAGATGTATTCACAAAATTTCTATACTAGATTTGATTTGAAACCTCCCAAAAGGCGATAATGCACTATATTCCTTTCGAGAGAAGGGCTGGAAAAAAAAGAGAGCTCCTTCCTTTTCTAGCTTTTGTTAGGACATAAAGCTTATTCAATTTTGTAACAGTGGATTCTATAACAGCACTATGCCTTTTCAAAGACAAAGTAGTCATGACACGCGCTTGGCGTTTTACCTTAGGAAGACTTCCAACAAATACAAAATGAGTATTAAATTTTGTCATGATGTAACCTCAAAACTCTTATACTTTCGATATCTATCTCTTCCTATGCAATACTTTTTCCTTAGTGAAAAGAAAAATGCATTACTTGTTCTCTTTTAGTTTACAGTTTGAACAAACTTAATTTTCTTTATAACCTCTTTGTGTGTTAAAATATTTACTTGAATGATTCTCAATTAAGCTCTTTTGTTTTGTTTTTTTAGGGTGTCATGATAACTCATGGCAACATTGTAGCCACGGCAGCTGCAGTTATGACTGTCATTCCAAAACTTGGCAGCAATGATGTCTATTTGGGGTACCTACCTTTAGCTCATGTTTTTGAGTTAGCGGCTGAGGTAATCTTCAGACTTTATACATCGTTTGTTCTTTTATAGCCTGTTTGGCAAGCTTTTGGGAGGTCAAAAGTGCTTATTTTTAAAATAGTGAAGTATTTGGCTAAGCTTTTGGGAGAAAATAATTTCTCTTAGGAAGTAGCAGAAGCTGTTTTTCAAGTAGTTCTGAGTGATTCTGGTTTTGCAGATTGTTATGTTGACTGCTGGTGCTTCAATCGGTTATGGTTCGGCTCTGAGTTTGACAGATACATCTAATAAAATCGTGAAAGGGACCAAAGGAGATGCCTCAGCTTTAAAGCCTACTTTAATGGCAGCAGTTCCAGCCATTCTGGATCGTGTTAAGGACGGTGTTATAAAGAAGGTTTAAACTGGACCTTCTGAGCTTTAAGTGCATATTTTAGTTGGGATTATAGGGCCTCAAATGAAGTAATAATCTCTTGATTATGTTTTTCTTAATCTAGGTGGAGGAGAAGGGAGGATCTGCCAAGAAAATTTTCGATATTGCCTTTAAACGCCGATTGACTGCTATAGAAGGTAGCTGGTTTGGAGCATGGGGTCTAGAGAAAATATTATGGGAGGTGATGATTTTTAAAAAGATACGATCAGTACTCGGAGGAGATATCCGTTTCATGCTTTGCGGTGGTGCTCCTCTATCAGGAGATACACAAAGATTTATCAACATTTGTATGGGGTAACTTTTCTGCTTTGTTAACATCAGAAAATTGTTCCGAATATGCTCTACACTTTTTTCGACACTTCTCTCTGGATGGACTGTTTAATGTTACAAGTTTTATAATCAACTTGTTTGGGACTGAGGCGTAGTTGTTGTTGCTGCAGAGCGCCTATTGGTCAGGGATATGGCTTGACAGAGACATTTGCAGGAGCAGCCTTTTCCGAGTCGGATGATCCTTCTGTTGGTCGTGTTGGTCCACCTGTTCCTTGTTGCTATATAAAGGTATGGACAAAATAGACAAAGCTAGTTAATCCAGAAACTAAAGAATAAGTATTGGAGACCGTTGTTCCCCTTTGTTCATTTTCTTGCAAACTTTATCAACTCAATAAGTTTAGGAATTTTCTGCTTTTTATGACAGTGTTGGTGTTTTGTTATTAATATGTAATGTATTTAACAATACAGCTTATTTCTTGGGAAGAAGGAGGCTACACAATTGCTGATAAGCCGATGCCTCGGGGTGAAGTAATTGTTGGTGGGAACAGTGTGACTGCTGGTTACTTCAACAATAGCGATAAAACTAATGAGGTGTACAAGGTACTTCTAAGCTACTGCTTGTAAATGGACTGAATTTGGTTATACCGCAAGCCTGTTCATGTTTTTAATATCTTAAATGCAGGTGGACGAGAGAGGGATGCGCTGGTTCTACACTGGTGATATTGGAAGGTTTCATCCTGATGGATGCCTCGAAATCATTGATAGAAAGAAAGATATTGTTAAACTTCAGCACGGGGAGTATATCTCACTTGGAAAGGTATTTACTTTTGATACATTCTACGTATCTTCAGTTTAAGATCACAAGATTCAAAAATCTTCTTTACTTTCTTAAATTTCGTGCCAAGTCAAAACCAGACCAAACAAATTGAAACTGAGGGATGTAATAATACTTACTGGGATTGTTATTTTGGCCTTAATCTGGGTTTTTTTTTTTTTTTTTTGCTTTTCTCTCTTTCATCCTGAATGTCTTGCAGCTATTAAAGTCTTGATTTATGGCAATTGTAATGACGAATTGATGCTCGTTGCAGGTTGAGGCTGCACTTTCCTCAAGCAATTATGTGGATAACATCATGGCCTATGCAGATCCCTTCCACAATTACTGCGTAGCACTAGTTGTTCCTTCACAAAAGGTGCTTGAGAAATGGGCGCAAGAAAATGGCATCGAGCATAGAGCTTTTTCCGATCTGTGCAACAAAGTTGAAGCAGTCAATGAGGTCCAGCAATCACTTTCAAAGGTTTGTCTCCTTTTCATCCGAATTATCATCAATGACGATTCCTATTGAGGAGGAAATGACCTTAGACAGGACGTTATGGAGGTCGAGGATTAGGGTAGAAGGTTAGTAGCTATAGATAGTCGAGTGTTGTCGTACTTCTAGTAGTATGATTTAGGTATCACGTAGTCCCTTTTTTCCCCATGTGTATTAACATTTGTTGTTACACTTATTTTGTACATTTTCTATTTTGTTGTCTCTTTTTCTTTCTTGCTTCCTGCATCAGTTACATCAGAAACAATCTCTATCCCCACAAAGGTATAGGTAAGGTCTGCGTACATCCTCCCCTCTCTCTCCGACCCCACTTGTGGGATTATATTGGCCTATGACAGCTCGGTGCTAGCTAGCTCGACATAGATAACCCAATACTATCATAAGAGAGAACATCCTAGGAGACATAATTGAAGAATGCTACCTTTGTCATTGCAAAAAGTGAATGAGCCTCATCTCTAATTCTCATGGCAATAATTTGTGTGTTGGGAAGTTTTTCAACTATAGTGTATGCTGAAATTGTGATTGAAATGCAGGTAGGCAAAGCTGCAAGATTGGACAAGTTTGAGATTCCTGCAAAGATCAAGTTGATACCCGAGCCATGGACGCCTGAGTCCGGATTAGTCACTGCAGCTCTCAAACTGAAGCGCGAACCCCTAAAGGCGAAATTTAAGGATGAACTTCTGAAGTTGTATCAATAATTGAATTATCATCTCAGTATTGACTGATTTATTTATCAACTCCTCATGTAGCAGGAGACATATCTAGTTGATTGTCAGAAGCAGTTTTCCTTGAGAAGTGAAATCTCACATCTTATTTTTCTTCTTGTACTACATTTTAATCAATTATGCTAAGGTCAGTTTACTCCTTTATTACATTGATAGTCACATTCAGTGTCGGAGTCAGAATTTTCATTAAAGGTGTTCAAGAACATGATGAAATAAATACACAAAGAAGTCAAAGAGCGTCCAAGGAAAATGTTGATGTGCTCTTAAAGTACTTCCACAACACAAAACAAAAGATAGATTCAATTCAAGTCCACTAAACATAGTAGCATTACATGAACCTCTTGAATCACTCAATACACAACCAGCAACCATTTTGTTTCATTTTCTTTTCAGTTAATCATTAACAACTTCACTGCATAACCATTCCATGCTAGGTGCAGACATGCAGCAAAACGGATAACTAATACAGAACGAAAGACGTTCTTTTCTTCAATCTAGGTTTGATAAATCTAGGATTAATAACGACCAAATTCACCATTATAACAGTAGAAACAAGTTGACACTTGCAAAAACCAGAGACATAATGGAAAAAGGGTAAAAGCCAAGGATGAATTGCCTGCCGGTGACTGTCTTAGCCAGTTAAGAACTTATAATCACCGGACAACTGGAGCACGTTGCTGACTCCCATTGCCTTGCATGGTAATAACCATATGAGAGGATACACTGAAGGCCATGTGATCAGGCTGCTGCTGGAAGTTGATGCCATTGTGGACAACATCTTGTCGGACACTTGAGAAAGCAGAAGTTGAACCTTCATGCTCAACTGAGTCTAGAGAAGAAGTTGAGTTAGTAGGGTAGCTATTTGGATCAGATTGATGAACTTTCTTTGAGCTGAGGAAACGTCCACCGGACCCTCTAACTCTGTTCACTGCATGAAGATGCCGTGACTCATGAAGATATGGCTGCACGCAAAAAATTGACCAGACGAATAAGCCCAAAATTTATCTTGAAGAATGATGGAAGTGCAAGTCAAGAAGTTAAAGGAAACGTATAATTGGGGACTACACAACCCTGGACTTTCTACTAGTCCTCCTAATTGATTTGCTTCTGTGCACATGGTCCTATTTGTTTACTGGTGTTACAGACCAGCTCGAGTAGCACATAATGTTAGCCCCAAAACTTGGAAATGCAAAGCCACTAGTGTCCTCCCACCACCCACCGGAAGAAGATCGTATGCAGTTAACTTTTTTCCTTTCGTGAGATCTCTATAACTAACTATTTGCATGTTTCTTCTGCCATATTGATCAATATGATGAAACTTTTCATACTAGAATACAAGAGTAGATGCTATTCTCTAAAGAATGAAGCAAGAGTACGACAAGTTTCATTAGTTAAGACATCGATGACAAAAGTAGACAACATTAACGAAGAACCACAGTAACTAGAGACTTGGGGAATCATGACTTATACAGTAAAAAACACTGAGCACTTAACGGAATAATGCCTGATCATGTATTGATTATTTCTAAATATAAATGAATGAGAGAAAATTGCAGCGAATTGATTGTCATTGAATGAATTAAGACAGATAAATGAGCTTAACAACCTGCTAAAGGCGCAGAAGAGCAGAAAGTACCCAAAATACCTTTCTATTTTTGACAAGTTTGTTCTGAGCCTCAAGCTTTGCACGTATCTGCCTCCGCCTTAGGATCCCATGGTATTGTTTTGCATTAACATAGATTGGTCCATCCTCTGCCATATCAATGGGGAGTGGGACACGGGCAGGTGCTATGCCCATCATATGAGGCTGCATTGACCAAGTATCAAAATTAGAACATTTACGAGATAATTAGGAGTCGGTATGTGATACCATTATCCATCTCCTTTGCAAACTTACAGCAGCTACAACTAGAATGACAGAATTCTGTTCAGTGTTTAAAGCATGATTCAGGGAAACAAAATATTGTGCGTTCGTGTATATCATAAAATTGCATATTCCCACATACCAAATCCATGACATTTTTGAGATCAACAAAAACTTATGATCCTTGATAACATTATTGATAATTATCTGCCTCAAATATTAGGAGAATATCTGAAAAATAAACTTAACAGAAAGTGGTAGCCTCCGGGATGAAGACAAGTCAAAGAAGAGAAAGGATATAAACTTTTGCAATCAAGTACTCCCTCCGTCCCAAAGTAAGTGTCACTTTAGCTAAACAAAATTGTCCCAAAATAAGTGTCACCTTAGTAATAACGGATCAGATGATCAGATTTAGTAGTGTCTTCTCTTTAGGACTCTGTTGTAACTTCCTCCTTGTATATAGGTTATAGATAAGTCTTACCTTTTTCTTAGTTTATCTCTTTGCTGTAGAAGTTGTACAGAATCTATATATACTTAGTTACAATCAATAAAATATATCGTTCCTTTCATTCTACTGGCAACTTTATACTTTATATGGTATCAAAGCCAATTAACTCTCACGAGTAAATTTCTGTCAAGAAAACCCTTCCACCCTTCCCAGAAAAATGGCCCCAAACATCACTGTAACCAACTCCGATGCCAATACAATGATTGTTCAGTTTAATCCTGTCACCCAGTTACCAATCAAATTAACTGGCAGCCACAATTTTTCCCTTTGGAAAGCACAAGTGTCCATGCTTATGCGTGGTCACAACCCTTTTGGCCATCTCGACGGTTCTCGCCCAGCCCCTGCTCGTACAGTGGCTCAAAATAATCAAAGTCTCTCCACACATGTCTGTAAGTTGAATAAAGCAATCTATGGCTTGAAACAAGCCCCCCGAGCTTGGTACAATGAGCTCAAAAGTTATTTGCTAACTGTTGGATTTGTCAAGTCCCAATCTGATTCTTCTTTATTTATTTTGCACAATTTTGGATTCACTGTTTATGTTCTTATCTATGTGGATAATATAATCATCACTGGAAATCAGATTCGTGGGCTTCGTCATATAATTGATGGTCTTTCCACTCGTTTCTCCTTGAAAGACCTTGGACAGCTCCATTATTTTTGGGTGTTGAGGTTATCTCTTCTACTGCTGGTCTTTTTTGTCCCAGCACAAGTATATTATGGATATTTTAGAGGATGTTGGCATGCTAGACAGTAAAGGAGCTCCTACACCTATGACCTCCACTACCATTTTGACAGCTTCAGTGAATGATCCTCCAGCTGATGGTACTCTTTATAGGCGGGTAATTGGAAAGTTGCACTACTTATCCTTTACTCGTCCTGATATTGCCTTCACAGTTAGCAAGCTCTCTCAATTTATGCACAATCCACGCCACTCTCACTGGAAAGCAGTCAAGCGATTACTCCGTTATCTTCGTCACACCTGCCAATATGGCATACAGATTGCCAAAGCTCCATATTCTTGTTTGGCTGTTTATTCAGATTCAGATTGGGCTGGTGATCCAAATGATCGCACTTCTACCTCTGGCTATATCACTTTCCTGGGCAACACACCAATTTCCTGGACCTCCAAGAAACAACGCTCCGTATCTCGGTCCTCTACAGAAGCTGAGTATAGAGCTGTTGTTGCTGCTGTTGCAGAAACCAACTGGATCACAAATCTTCTTCATGAACTTCGGCTTTCACTTAAGGGAGTTCCACAGGTTTTCTGTGACAACATCAGCACCACTTACATTTGTTCCAATCCGGTCTTTCATAGTAGGATGAAACATGTCGCCATTGATTTTCACTTTATTCGTTAACAAGTTCAGAACAAGGATATTGAAGTTCACCACCTTCACTCAGCTGATCAAGTAGCTGACATACTCACAAAACCTCTTCCCAAAGCTTCTTTGTCCAGCAATTTTCCAAGTTGGGTGTTGTTGACACCACCAACTTGCGGGGGCGTAATAACGGATCAGATGATCAGATTTAGTAGTGTCTTCTCTTTAGGACTCTGTTGTAACTTCCTCCTTGTATATAGGTTATAGATAAGTCTTACCTTTTTCTTAGTTTATCTCTTTGCTGTAGAAGTTGTACAGAATCTATATATACTTAGTTACAATCAATAAAATATATCGTTCCTTTCATTCTACTGGCAACTTTATACTTTATACTTAGGAATTCAAGACAAAAAAAGTATGTTTTTCCAACTATACCCTTGTTTTAAAGAACTACTTAATAGTGCTCAATTCCCAAGAAACATCTAATAAATAGGAGTAACTTAGTAAACTATCCACTATTTTTCTTAACGGACGTGAAATGAGCTAAAGTGACACTTATTTTGGGACAAAGGGAGTACATACAAGAGACAAAAACCAAAGCAGAGTACTCACATAAGGCTGAGGTCCATAAGCAGTATATAAGCCACTGATATAGGGATCAGAGTAGCCAAAAGCAGAGAAACCCTGCAACGTGAGAAAACGATAAATTAGATTATGCCAAAAGCTAAGGCAAAAATCCCTAAAAAAAGAAACAACATACAGTTGAATGGGCCACTTCATTTTGCAAAGAAAAAAGAGCAGGCTTTATTTGAACTTGCATCTCTCTTCCATATCTTTCATCATGAACTGGAAAATCAGAAGTAAGATGTAAGATGACCAATCATTATCAGCAAAAGAACTTCATCAAGTAAAAAAGCTAAAGCTTGTTGTGAAAGAGAGGCTATTTATGTATCGGAAAAAAAAAAACTAGCCAAATGGACAGAAGAGTTTTTTATATTGTATCTTGGAGGAAAACGATCAGCTTGGTGAGACTAAGAAACTCATTTGGTATAAGCAAGGACCAGAGATGTGCTTCGAAGGAAAAGGAGCCACCCAAAATTCTTTCATTATCATAATTTAAGTAGTACGTTCTTGGTCAGTTGATTAAGACTAGTGAAAATTAAAATATAAACAGAAGAGACTCGCAAAGAAAGTTAGATGATCTTTAAAGTATTTGTACCATAATCTGAGGAAGCACATTGATCTTGAGAATGTGTTTTCCCCGATGCAGTCATTTCGTCTTGGGAGTTAAGAGTTGAATGTGTCAACCGCAATGTCTCGCCTTGTAAGTCCGGATCCAAAGACTTCATATCTCCTGACAGCAAGGAGATGGAAATTCCACTTCTCAGACAATTTTCCAATTTATTATGTGAAATTTCTTGTTCATTGGAACTCCACCATGATTAGCTATTGAAAGCAAACAACAACAGCAAAAACCACATACCCAGTGTAGTCCCACAAGGTGGGTTCTGGGGAGGGTAGCGTGTACGCAGACCTTACCCCTACCTCACGGAGGTAAAAAGGTTGTTTCCGAAAGATCCCCGGCTCAGGTAACGCGTATCAAAGAACATACAGAAATAAAGAAATATCACAACTACTAGAGGAAGCATCACATAGCGAACATGAAAAATAAAACAATAACAACATCGACAAAACCTTCCAATAAACCTGTGCTATTTGTCACTCACACATACACACACACACACACACAAGGATACACTACACATTAATTTCCTTCACTATTTATTAGAAGGCTTTTGGGACGCATATAACTACCAAATTAAAATTGACTTGCAAACCGTAGCATATGACTAAAGCTATAATGCAATTGTCACAAAATTTTGTATGATTATTGCAAGTTATCAGCTCTTATCTTCAGAGATTGCTTTTCAAAAAGCTCAGGAACCAAGAACCTTCAAAAAAGTAATGTGATTATCATTACTTTTTGCATCAAAGCCTACCTCGTCATTTCTGAACGAAGTTGACAGAAGGAAGATACAAATAAAAGAAACATTCCTATCTATAGTGACGATAAGTGACAGACTAATTTCAGGCTGTGAAGAGTAGAGCATGAATCCTCAAGGATACTAAGCAAGGTATACAGAACTGCAGAGACTATACTGCAAAGACGAATATACAGCTACTCTATCTAGAACTGCAGTCATTTAAAATCTTATTGACCTATTACATGAACTACTACCTCCCCGTTCTGCTATATTAACCTTGTCAATATAACAGGATGGATTTGCAGGAAGTGTCAACAAGGGAACTAGTGGAACATAGTCACATGCAGTCATCAAAACAACTCAATGGCATGTGCAAGCAAACACCGAGAAAGGAATGTGAAGTGTTAATTGAGAATGATGTGTAGAACTGCAATACGAACTCCATAAGGTGATAAAACACACAAGGACAAACAGGCTTATGCGGCAACAACAACAACAACATACCCAATGTAGTCCCACAAGTGGAATTTGTGAAGGGTACGATGTATGCAAACCTTACCCCTGCCTTTGTGGGATAGAGAGGCTGTTTTTGATAGACCTCGCCTCAAAAGAGAAGTTTCCGAAGCAGAATTGTGGGTAAGCATTCTGTGACTGATGTTTAAATGCAGTAACTAGCAGTTCATCAATATCTAACACAAGAGCCATTGACCTACCCAATATACTCTACTCATATATATGACTATAGAACCATAGCAAAAAGGATTTGATCAGATAGCAAAATGACCACCTAAAATGAAATGAACAAAAATACCATTAACAATGGGAAAAATTAAAACAAAGAACCACATGCATCTTGTTCTAACATCATGAGAATCTTATATCCAGAAGATGACTTGATCAAAATACCAAGTCATATATTACAAGAAAACCATGTTGCTCGGATTCTCCAAAAATACACTATTTTGGGAGTATCCCACACGCACCCATGTATATTTTTGAAGAGTCAGAGCAACATAGCCAGCAAACTCTTCAAAAGAAAAGGCGAAAAACACTAGATCAGAACCTAGAACACAAGATCAGGAAAAATTCAACCAAATATTCAAATGTTTATTACATCAAAAACACCACTCCCCAAATATTACTATAATCAAAAGAACTTCCATGGATATTAGAAGAAAAAGCACATTCTCCTATGACAAACCATAAACAAAAAATATGCAGAAAACCCAAAAGGATATGAACTTTACTCATTATTCCCCTTATCAATATGCATAGCCATCTTAAAAAGACATTTTTTACTTTAAACTCCACATGCATTCAAGATTCACTCTGTAGAACATTCTTATAGTAATACCCAGAAAGGGTAATTTAGAGATCAATAGCAAAATGAAACTTTAAGAAGAAGAAAACTATTAGGCATGAGTGTAGGGTCCGGGAAGGGCCAGATCATAAGGGCATATTGGACACAGCCTTACATGCATTTCTACAGAGGTTGTTTTCACAGCTCAAACCCGTGACCTTCAAGTCACGTGGCAGCAAATTTACCAATAAAGCTAAATATATAGAACAAAAGATCAGGAAAGAATCAACCAATTATGCAGATCTTTATTACATCAAGAACCCCACTCTGCAAATGTTACTATCATCAACAGAACATCCATGGATATAACAAGAAAAAGCTCAGTTTCCTATCACAACACATAAAAAGAAAATATACAGAAAAACAATAAAGATTGCAACTTTACTCATTTTTTCCCTTATCAATATGCAAAAACATCTTAAATAGACATATCTTTGACTTTAAAGTCCACATGCATTCAAGAATTTCACTATATGTAGAACATTCCTTGTCTGACCAAAACAGTATATACACAATACCCAAAAAGGGAAATTTAGAGATCAATACCAAAATGAAACTATTAGGAGAAGAAAACCAATAAAAATTGCCACTTTACTCATTATCCATCCCCTTATCAATAAACAAAACCATCTTAAAAAAACACATCTTTGACTGTTAAGTCCACATGCATTCAAGATTTTCACTATATGTAGAACATTCTTTATCTAACCAAACCAGCATATATACAATACCCAAAAAGGGAAATTTAGAGATCAATAGCAAAATGAAACTATTAGAAGAAGAAAGCCAATAAAGATTGCAACTTTACTCATTATTCCCCTTATCAATATACAAAACCATCTTAAAAAAACACATCTTTGACTTTAAAGTCCACATGCATTCAAGATTTTCACTATGTAGAACATTCTTTATCTAACCAAACCAGTACATACACAATATCCAAAAAGGGAAATTTAGAGATCAATAGCAAAATGAAACTATTACAAGAAGAAAACCAATAAAGATTACAATTCTACTCATTATTCCTCTTATTCATATACAAAACCATCTTAAAAAACACACCTTTGACTTTAAAGTCCACATGCATTTCAAGATTTTCACTATGTAGAACATTCTTTATCAAACCAATACACAATACCCAAAAAGGGAAATTTAGAAATCAATAACAAAATAAAACAACAAAACAAAAAAAGAAGAAAAAAACTATTGGCCAAAAACACATAAATAAATCCAATACTTAAACATGAAAGAACATAAAAAATGAAAAAAAGTGAATGGATTGAGAGAAGGACCTGTGGAATCCACTAAAGTTAAGAAAAGAAATAAACACAAGTGTTGCTTGTTGGGATGAAATCAAGCATGTCTCCTTCCTTGAAACTCTCTCTCTCTCTCTCTCTCTCTCTTCTCTCTCTAAAAAGAAATCTTTTATTTTTTGCCTTGTAAGAAATGGCATAAGAATCTCTGTGCATCTTCTTGCTGGCTATGATGTGTACACTGTACAGTAAGATGAGTAATTAACAATTAATTTTTTCCACTTTAATTTAATTTTACTTTTTCTACTTTGGGACTTCAAACATTTGACAACAATTTACTTTTGTTTCTCTGTCTGCATTTAATTAAACCAAACTTCTTTGGGGCATTTCAAAATATTCAACTTCCATTTTATTGTTAGGCTACTTTTACAATTCAAGAATCCAAGCTTTTTTTAAAAAATAAAAATTGCTCCATTTCTTTTACATTATATGTTTGCATATAATATAAATAAAGTTGAAATTTCAAATCTTTATTAAGTGAAATTATTCTATACCCAAGAAAATAGAGTTACGGATATATTAAAAACAGTATCAGATTTTTCACCTTAAAAAGATAGAAATATAATGTAAAATATTAACGTACTTTCAAGATTTTACTTTTCTCAAATCTCATTTGTATACTACACTAAATCTTATTATTATTGTTATTGAAAGATTAAATTAAATGTAAGTCATTTTTACTATAGATGATTCCATTCTTAAAATTTAAACTCAATTTTTTGGTATTTTTCTGAGCCCTAGATCAGAAGCCTTGGCTGCTACTGTTATGTGTTTTATTAGTACTAAAACAAACGACGAAGCTACATCAATCAAAAATAATCATTGCCTCTAAGTCAACTTGCCTTTTGCCTCGTGACGAAATGGTCTCGCAAAGACGGTCAACGATAGCCTAAGAGCAAATTAAAACTACGAAACGGAAGCGAGAAATTTGTGAATATTTTTTTATTGTAAATAAAAAAATTACTTGTCATTGATAAGATGGAGAAAGAAATTGTAATTTAATGGAATATATTACAGAAAAATCTAAATTATAATAAAAAATTAATATTAAAAAAATTAAGTGAACACATTAATGGCATCAACCAACACCATAATTCAAATTATTTTAATATTTTTTGTCTTTAGTACTTTATCATCTTTTAATGTTTCTTCTTCTGGTTGGGTCCCACTTGAATAAAACAAAAGTTAATTTACTTGGCTGTTGCCTGTCATCATCAACTCTGTACACTCCGCTGTAACTCTAGTAAAATAGCTCCCAATAAACCACACTTCATAGCCGCCCTTTACTGTTAAATACCTCAAACATCCGAACTTTCCTCGATGGAAAATATTATTATTTATATATGATTAAAAAAAAATTATGTATACATAATAGATGTTAGTTCGTGTATTTACTTCTTCAAATTTTAAATTTTCATATTAAAAATTCTAGTTCTGTCACTGGACTTTTACCTCACTAACAATAATAACGATAATTAGTAATATAATCAGTATAATTTTATGAATAAAGGATAATTGACATTGAGGCAGTCAAAATGACTTTTTATCAACGAAGGACATCCAATGGCCACAGAGTTATGATGGTGTAAGGGTGTTTAGTTGATCCGTTAAATTCTACTAGTTTATATTGATATATATATATAGTATATGTTGAACATCTTTAGAGTAGATGGAGACTTATATGGGGTCGTTTGGTGTGAGGGATAATATCAAATAGTCCTGGGATTAAATTATAGTACCGCTTATTTTGTTGTTTGGTTGGTAAATTAGGGATAACTTATTCCGGGATTAATAATTAGTACCGGGATAAGTTATCCCTAACCTAGGGTGGTATGTAATCCCGGGATAAAATAGGTAAATGACAAAAAATGTCTCTTTGAACCCTTTTGTTATATCACTTTTTTACATTAATGAAGGGCATTTTTGTAAACAAATAAATTGTTCTTAAAATTTTATTATTTTGAATACAACAAACCAAACAACTCAATAAAAAAAATACTCAATACAACTTATCCCATCATAACTAATCCCAACATAACTTATCCCATCATAACTCATTTTCAAATCAAACGACCCCATAATGTAATGACAAAGGTATGCTCAAAACTTATATGATGCTTAAGTTCGAATCCGTCAAGATCGTGAGAATATAAATAAATAATAAAGTATGTCTTTTCTCTTTGATAACTTAAATTTTTAAATGAAATGATCACACATTTTAATATAATATCAAATTAGGTAAAGTTTTTGAAATTAAATATCATCGTTACTCATATCAAAAACAATTTCCACATGTTTGATCAATATAAAAAAATAAACTTCGCACGTCAAAAGGCATTAGCGATAATACAATTAAATAATAAAAATATATTCTCTAAAGGGCCTTCCACTCAAAAAAATTGTTTTAAAATAACTTATTTTACCAAATATTATTCTTAAACATAATAGTACTTAATTTACTTCTTCCATTTTGGTACGTGAAAAAGACGCGCTACACTATGGAGTGGGTTTGATAGTATAGAGTTAATTCTGTTCCAAATGGCTGAGGCAATTAAGTTCCACAGTACAATATAGTAATGTGTGTTTTTATGACAAATTTATAAAATTTAAGTTTCATAGTACAAATTAGAACAAAGGTAATACTAATACTTTGAGTAATATCAATTAGGTACCTGACATTTTGAAAATTAATTTTTAATTCATGCTTCTTTCATTTTATTTTGTGTGTCACAATTAGTTGTGATATAATTTTAAAAAAGTGAAACTTATTAGAGTATAATTCTAAATATATTATGATGACTATATAATTATGCAATTAACAATAAAATATTATATATAGACAAAAAATATTTTAAATATAAATGATAAAATTATTTTTTTAAGAATGATATAAAAAGAAAAATAATCACATAAATATTAAATTGGTCAAGTACAATTTAATCGTTTGGGGTAAAAGTAAAACAAAAATAATTAGGGCTAAATATATAGATAGCCTAAAAGCTCGAATGATTTAGCAATTTAATTTAATCATAAGGGTTAATGGAATGAATTTAATTTCTTCCCCATCAACTAGAAGTCTTAGATTTGAATTTTATATATGATTTATTTATCATAGAACTCTTTTTTTGAGTAAATCTTATACAATTTGAATTTACATTAGTCAGAATCTCAAAATGGATATGAAATACTATCACTTTGTTTTGATAGTTTTTACGTATTGTTTCATATGTATTGTATTGTAATACAATGTTTAGATAGATTAAAACCATTTTCCGTTGTTACATAATGTTACACATCCATAATTTGAATGATAAACTTATAAGAAAAGTAGGGTACAAGGTAGAGCTACTATGAAAATGTAGGATAAAAAAATATTTATGATTATTAAATACAATAAAATAAAGCAAAATGAGAAGAAAATATTAAGGTAACAACGCGATCACACCAAATCGGTCACTACATAAAATGCGTATTTTCATCGTTACCTAAAGATGCATTTAAACAATTCGATATAATAAAAATTAAGTAACAAAATAAATATCATAAACTAACAATACAATACAACACAAAAAATAACAACCATCCAAACAATGTATATGTTAGATTATTTTTTTGTTAAATAGATCTTACACGATAATAAATTTAAATCAATTGAGTTTTAATATACACATAAAACATGGATGAGATTATAGTTTGACTATGTATGAACTTTTTAAAATTAGAAAATATTTCTCTTAAATGAATTTTATTCCACACAAATTTAATATATCAACCATCGAGTGTGAATAATAATAATAAAAAAAAAGTGTAGTAAGTTGGGTTGTCACCACGCGGAAGAATCATATTTAGGAAGACACGTGGCGCGTTTGGGGCGACTTTAACCCGGTGGGTTTTGGCGGCTTTTGACACAAAACGACGGCAAATAAA